CCCGGGGCCGTACTTACTGAAGGGGCAGTTCTCCTTCTTGGTGCCGCTGACCTTGCCGTTCTTCTCGATCTTGAGAAAGTACTTGTTGTAAGAGTAGAGCTTCCTCTTGCGCACGTCTCCTTGGAGGTGATTGTAGCTCCGCACGTGTCTCCCCGCACTGGAAGGAGAGGAGAAGGACGAGGGGAAAGAGGATGATGATGAAGAAGAAGAGTTGGTAGCCTCCGGGGACAGCATGTCCTGGCTGAGGTCATGGCAGGTGACAGGCACAGAAGACACCAAGAAGAGCAGCAGCAAGCAGCAACAAGGCAGGTGGGAAAAGGCTGAGGCACCATTTGTCAGTATCCATTTGCACATTGTACTGAAACTCTGAGCGCTGGAAAACGTCTTATCAAATGAAACATACTGGAAGGGTAAAACCTGGTAAAAGGCAAGTGGAGAGATGGTGGTTGCTGCTTCTGGTTAGATCCCTCTGAGCTCTGATCTGGCCTGAAGTAAGTGCATCAACATCCATAACTCGGGAGACAAATCGCCTCAGAAGGTGCTGCCTTTTAGTCCTTTGAGTCCTCTCTCAGAAAAAAGAGCTGTTGTGGGTTCTGAGCTCTGATCTGGCCTGAAGTAAGTGCACCAACATCCATAACTCAGGGGACAAATCGCCTCAGAAGTTGCTGCCTTTTAATCCTTCGAGTCCTCCCTCAGAAAAAAGAGCTGTTGGGTTTGTTTTTTTTTTTTGGGGGGGGTTGCTGTGGTTAATCCTCTTTCCTTTTTCTCTTCCCCACCCCACCCCCCACATACACACACACTCCCCAACCTGGTTTGAGACTTCCCAGTAGTTATTTTGTTCTCTTCCTCACTCCTTTCTTCACCATCTTAGATGCAGAAAGGTCTGAAAAATAGATGACAGCAAAGTCAACAACAACAACAACAACAAAAAATAATAACAACCAGCGGAAAGGGGTGCTGGAAGGGATTTTTCACACATACCCCGTTACACACACGCACGCACGCACTCACACTTTGTGGCTTTGCACCTTCTTCTGATCCCCACCCCCTTGCCTTTTTGCAAATCCCAAACCAGTTGCACAACTCGTCCTTTCTCACTGACAACCCCAGAGGAGGCAGCTTCTTTGTTTTGCTTTGAATTCTCCAGAAGAGTATTTAAAAAAAAAAAAAAAATCCAGAGAGAGGGAGAGAAAGAGAGAGGGAAAAATCCCAACTTGTCCCTTCCCTGTCGCCCCCCCCTTCCCTTCCCCTCCTTTCCTTTCCCTCCCCCTTTGGTTGTAAACAGGTGGGAAGCCGTAGCCTAAATGTCAGCGATTACAAGTCAGAGGTGGGATGTGCCTCTGGTGGTCAACCCTTATTTGCAGGGGGTCAAGCAGGGGTGGGACATCTGAAATCCTTTTACAGTTGGAGCGAGCAGTGCCTGCTGCTTTTGCGGAAGGAGTTTTGGGAGTTACTCTCTCTCTTCGCAGCAGCCAGCTTGCTGCTAATTGCTCCTAAAACGTTCTCCT